AGATTTTAAAGGGTATTTTCTGAATTATTACCTGCCAGTAATTGGGTGAGATAAGTGGGACTTAGTCACAGTAGATCGCGCCGAACTGTCACTCCCTCGATGCCCACTCCCTACCACTCCCACAAAAAAGGCTAGACCTAACATTAAATTAATAATTACAATATTAAACATTAATACCAGTAATGGTAAATTATGAAATAATGTGGACTGTATATGATTTTAGGCCCTGCTGTTAGAAATGGTTAATAGGAATATTTTTACAGAGACTAGGGAAGTTTCTCCTAACCTATCATTAGAAACAATAAATTTTATACACATTAATTTGTCATTTGTCACAGGAAGATAATTAATGCTGATGGAACACGTGCTAACATTACCCTAACAGCTAGAATTTACAATGACCAAAGTAAAAACTACTGTACATTATGGGTAAGTATCACTTAGCTAAGTGTGTGTTGCTGGGAAGGATTGGAGCCCTCTATTTTTCCATCCTTGTTGCCGAATTGTAAGGGTTTTCACACTATCCCAGTTCTTCAGCAGGAACGTGTCAGCAATTTCTAAATTACCGATTGAGGCCGATATACAGCAACTGATCTTCGAGAACGCCTGATTACACTGCACAGTTCAGTCCGGTGCTCACACATTAAATTCATTATGGAGTCTCTCTGCAGCGTCAGTTCCCGGCTGTTCACCCCTCTACTTAACATTTCTCGAAGAAGCCAAGTAGCATCACATTTATAGGTTCTAAATTTAGGAAATTTACGTAAAAATGTTCCACATCATCCTTAATGTATCAGTAATTATATTTTTTATTGAATTACCTGGCATATACCTGGAGAGGTTTTGGGGGATCAACGCCACTGTGGCCGGTCTGTGACAGGCCTCATGGTGAATCAGGGCTGATCAACCAGGCTGTTACTGTAGGCCGCACGTAAACCAACGTACGAAACACAGCCTTGCTGATCAGGTACTGACTTAGGTGCCTGTCCGAAGCCTTTACCCTTCAAACTGAAATGTTTGCCATACTCCGTGCACTCAAATGCATCAATGTATCAAAGTTTGATACTTTAATCGTAACTTGATTCTTTGTCATTCATAAATGCTCTCAACTCCTTAAGTACCAATTGTTTCATGCTTGTGTCAGAAACCAGACACAGGTATGGTAGGACTGTGGACGGTGGCGTTGGAATGCACCTGTGGATTCCGTCTCACATTGGTCTCCAGATGCATGATATAACTGATGAACTGGCAAATAATATGCCTTCAAAGATGGAGCAGACTACAATCTTGGGATGTTAGTTAGCAGTATGAGAACAGTAATACGAAAAGAACCTCAACTGAACTTCATTGACTTAAAACTAAGTGAGATTGACACCAATCAATCCATCTATCATGATCATCATTCTGTCATGTAGGAGAAGCCCCATGTTTATGTTGCATCCAACATAATAAGCAGATTCTTGGATGTCACTGGAAATAAGCCATTTTGTCTGACTTTTGTGGGTTATCCTAGGTAATGTACACATATGCTGCTCTGTATCATAATTCATGTAACTGTATTCATGTGTACCTGTACCTGAACTTACCATCCTGCTCCGGCTGGGTTACCAGTATCTCTGGGAGATTAAATCACCATCACAAGATGTAATTTTTTTTAGCTTAATATCTTTATTATGCACCCCATACCCATCCTGTGGGCGGTAGTCAAAAGATTACAGAGGTACATAATGAGTCCAGGGACTGGACCTCAAAGTTTTCATAGCTGAACAAGTTACAAAGGTAATGAACTCACAATTTACAAAGGTAATGAAATCACAATTTATAGATGTAGCCCAAATGAAATGTAAACTTTGCCAGATGAACAATTGTGACACCTTGGTATAAAATTAATGAATTCAGAGACAACTCAGAAAGGTTCAAGAAATATCAAAGTATTTTATCCACAGAGGTATACTACCAACCATTCAGGAAATATACCCTGGTTTTGCCCACTGTATACAACACATTACCACTTAAACTTGGGTGTGTGTGTGTGTGTGACCTAATTCATGTTTGCACAAATAACTCATTACGATTGTAACCAGATATAAATACATATATAGTTCATTGCAAATGTAACTTGTTCATCTATCAAAACTTTATGGTACCCATTATGTACCTCTGAAATCTTATGATTACCGCCCACAGGATGGGTATGGAGTGTGTAATAAAGAACTTAAACTAATTAAAGTCTATAAAGTAATTTATGAATGTCTATTATTCTAAATGTATAATGTACTGAACTCCACTTTACAGAAATAAATTTTGTTCGTTTGTTTGTTATCAAGAGTTTAAACAAGCAAGGTAATATTATGCAACCTTGACACGTACCGTTCACTCTCACCAACACAAACTCCCACGCAAACATGCCTCCAGCCTAGAAATGCCTCACAGTGGGCTACACAGTTTTCCCACACCCACCATGAAGGTTTTGTTTCGATTATACTATAGTATAAGGTGTCTTCACTATTTATTACCACCTTATGAGGGTACCTTCATCAAATTCGACCTCAGTAACAAAAACATACAGTGGGATCAAATCAAACATGTCCTAAATGAAACAAGCTGAGAAGATTTCCTAAACAATACGGAACCTAACCTTTGCCTAGAAAGAATTAACCCTGTGGCACTTGAGGTATGCTCAAGGTACATTCCTTCAAGAAAAAAAACATGTAAACTAGAGAGTGAGAGAGAGATGCTCCTTATACAGGCGAAGTCGAAGAATCACAGAGCTGTTGAAAGAGGCCAATACATCTGAAATACGAAAAGAGGCACTGGTCAGAGAAATAGCCAATATCAAACTTAAACTTAAGGAATCATGCAGGAGACAAGAAACTCAGGAAGAACTTAAAGCGATAAATGAAATTGAAAGAAACCCAAAATACTTCTTTTCTTATGCGTAATCTAGGGCAAAAACAACATCCAGTATTGGACCCCTGTTCTGACAAGATGGGACTTACAGAGATGACAGCAAAGAAATGAGTGAGATACTGAAGCCCCAATATAACTCAGCGTTTAGTCAGCCGTCGACAATCTAAATTATTTTTTTTTTAGGACCAAGACTGAAAATTTGGTTAACTAAAAAATCTCTGATATTATCCTAACACCACAAGACTTTGAAAAAGCAATAAATGCACTCCGCCCCTGGAGCAAACTCATGGAACTCCGAGCTAATCAAGAACTGCAACAAGCCCTTTTCATGTGCCTTTAGCATCCTATGAAGAGAGACTATGGACACAAGGGTCTCCCACAGTCACTAAAAACAACAGACATAGTCCCACTCCACAAAGTTGGCAGTAAAGCAATTGCAAAGAATTACAGACCGATAGTTAGTTTAATATGTTTATTATGCACCCCATACCCATCCTGTGGGCGGTAGTCAAAAGATTACAGAGGTACATCATGGGTCCAGGGACTGGACCCCAAAGTTATGATAGCTGAACTAGTTACAAAGGTAATGAACTCCAGGTAGATCTGGTCACAATCAGGGAAAGTTACAAAGGTAATGAATCAGCCTCACTCCTATACATGGTTACAGTCATGAACAAATTACAAAGTAATGAGCCACTGATACGTCCACACCTGGTCACAATTGTAATGAGTTATAAATACAAATATTAAGTGGGTCATACACCCACACGAGCGCGCGCGCACACACATACACACATGAGGGCGCACGCACAGACACATGCACATGAGCGTACTAATATATGCATACACACAAGCACGCACACCCAACACACACACACACACACACAACACACCACCAACACCAACAAAACACAACAACACACACACCCCACAACCACACGTGGTAATGCATTAATTACAGCTAGCAAAGTCAGGGTATTTCTCCAGAATGGTCTGTAATATACCATTATGGATAAAATACTTTGCCATTTCTTGAATAT